GATATGTAACGTTCCTACATATTATATCCATTCCTATCTAGACTGAGAGATGGTGACAGGTCTTGGTCCTCGATTTCATTTTTGAGGGTTGATAATAATGTAGTCGAAGAGAAAAAAATAAGATGGTTTTTGACCTATGCAATGCAGGTATGTACTTCCTAATAAAGTTCGTATTTTCACTTGTGATTTTTTTTTATTTGTTCGTGATATTATATAAAATAATTTTTTTGATTTCTGATACCATAATAAAAGCGATGGGCGCAAACTAAAATTTAAATTGTAGGTTTAAAATATGAAATTGTTTCAATTTGCGCCCATCGCTTTTATTATGGTATCAGAAATCAAACAAATTATTTTCTACTTTTGAGTGTATTTAATAAAAGCTTATGCTTAACAAGTTTTTTATAAAAATTATTTTTAAATTTTTAGTCACGCACACTTAGGCTAGGGTTCTTAATTTTTGCATTTCGGGTAACGCGTCATTGTTGCAAGGCGTTTTTCCTATTAATTTTGAGCCATATTATTGTATCGTCACCAAAACCATAAATTTATATCAAATTTACGTACGTAGAAGTAAAAAAATAAACTTATACCTATTGATATCGAATACCCTCACACACCATTTTAAACTAAATCGGACGAAGTTAAAAAGATCCCCTCACCACCCTCGTGTGGACAATGGGGAGGTGGAAACTTAAAAATACCATAAGGTGGCATTGTCACCGGAACTATAAATACCTAAAGATTATTACCCATTTGATTTTTGGTGAAAATCTATTTAGCCGTTTTTTCTAAACCGTTGACGTAAATTTCAGACAGACAGGCACACAGACATGTTTTTCGGACCTAGGGCCCTCCAAAACGTGAAAATCAATCAAAATCTCGAGGTCAAAATTTTGGGCGATCACAATACTTCCCCTCAATAATATAATTCAAAAAATATAATTAAGGGAAAGTAAAAAGGGGTAGAAATATCAAAATGTAAAATTGTTACTTACCGCATTCTGGATTGGACATGTCGCCGTTTGCCTAATTTGGCAATACTTTTCTTTTTTCCAATTTCTTCACAATAAAAGTTCAAAACTCACAAAAAAAATCACTTCATTCTACAAATATCTTTTACATAATGCACAATGCAATCCGAGCCACGAAATATATATACATTTAGATCATGAATCACCTACCTTGATAGATATTTCCCATTGCGATTCGCAGGTAGCTGATACTTAAACCCCTATCAATATTCTTCAAAACATTGTCATTAAACCAGATAAGTGTCAATCAATAACACTTTAAAGTTTTATTGAATATTAAAATAACCTAATTTCCTACATAGAATTAGCTTTATTAACCGATTTATAAAGTTTTATAAAACTATAATTGTTTTTTAATTAGGGGATTAAAAGATTTAAGATTGTTGTTTTGGAATAAGATATTGTTGATTTCTCGGAAAACTTTATTCTTGATAAACGCGTCTGCATCAGCCAAATATATTGTATTTTCTTTTTTTACCTTTGAAGTTTGTATAATAATTACAAATCCGCTTTTAAAATATATTGACAAAAATATACACTAAATGTTCATTTAAATTTATAAAATTATTTTAAAAAATGCAGGAGAAAAGTAAAACAGACATACTGTCAAAAACATAAAGCTCGCTCGCCACTGCACTGGTGAGAGTTTCGACCAGTGCTAACAAATATTTTATTTATTTTTAGCAAGTTTTAGAACAAAAACCTTTATTTTTGTTGTGCGCTCAAACGGCTAAAGATAAAAGCATGAAATTTTGGGAATGGTTACATCTAACTAATATCTAAAAAGTTATGGCAGCAGATTTTTGAAAAAAAATAAAATCGGAGTGAAAATATTTTTTTCTCAAAAATTAGACTTTTTAAAAAAATCTGCTCCCATACTTTTTTTTAGAAGTATGAAGTAAATTAACTCCCAAAATTTAAAAAAAATCGCTTGGTAAATAACGGCGTTTGACTTTAACTTCAAATAAGCGAGGGTATGTATTCCTCTTAAAGACATTCTTTATTTTGTTCCTTAATTAATTACATTACAAACATTGTTTACGAAATATTTAATAAAACGTTATAAAACCATGTTAACACGTGTTTTATGAAGTGGCTATACAGGGTGTTATAGTATACAGGGTTATAAATAATTTAAAAACAATAATTTTGAAGTTAATTCTTTTAACTTCTAACAATAGACTTAAAATTGCTGAATTATTTTCCATTTCATCCATTTCTTATTATGTATACAGGGTGTTAGGCAATGCGAGATTACGATATTTTAAATTTTTTCAAATGCAATACGCTGTATTTTATACCACCAATTTATAAATAAATTTCCTAATTTTTTATTTTGTTTGGCATTGCCTATACCCAAACGCATTTTGATGGTTTTATTATAAAAATAAACATTTTTCTAATTATAATTGGCTTTAGAAACCTTGGTCAGTTACAGAACTACAAATAGGTAGATCTAATTGATTTTTATAATTCTTCAAATAAAACAATCCAATTTTCAACTTAATTCTTCTGAAAATAAATGTGTTTGGTGTTCTTATTATCATCAGTAGCTCTAGGTTACAGAGTTTAAAGGTAAAATTTCATGACAAAAAGTTTTGTTAAGCAATTTTTCAAAATCAATAAATCTGTTTTGGTATAAGGAATGCAAAGAAATTAATTAATTGGTGGTATAACATATGAAGTTTATTAAAATTGTTTGACGATGTGAAAACAGTCTAATATATACAGTGTGTCTACTTAAGTTGGAACCATATGGAAAACATTTTTATTATTGATTTTAGGAAAAAAAGTTATTCTTGATAAAAAGTCCTGCATGACCCAAAACTTAAAATACAGTCATCAGATATCAAATTTTTCAAGCCGTATACGAGGTTTTTCAAAAAATATGAATTTTGCTCAAGAGTAAAGTACGTTAATTTTTTTACAAAATCGAAAATTTTCATTAAGAAATTTGCTAAATTCTTCACAAACATCAACAAAAGGAAAGCGTATCATGTTTATAGTAGCTAACGTAATTTATAACGTTTTCAGATATTTACAATCAATGTGTAGAGTTTATAAAAAATAAGAAAATCTGTTTTTTCAGATAGATCGGTGTAATTGCATATTTGAATGTAATATTCAATTCTAATCAACTTTTCTTAATGAAAATTTTCGATTTTGTCAAAAATAAACGTACTTTACTCTTGTGCAAAATTCATATTTTTTGACAAACCTCGTATACGGCTTGAAAAATTTGATATGTGATGACTGTATTTTGGGTTTTGGGTCATGCAGGACTTTTTCAAAAATAACTTTTTTCCTAAAATCAATAATAAAAATGTTTTCCATATGGTTCCAACTTAAGTAGACACACTGTATATGTGTGACTACTTGCAGATATTTTGCTTTAAAAAGGTATAAGTTTGGTCAGCTCCTCTTTTATGGACCACCCTGTATATTTAAGAATAATTGTTAAATATGGTTATTCAACTTTTATATTAAAAATTTCTTCTTATTTTTAATAAAACAGATAATGATCAATTACGCACTGATGGGACACCCTGTATATGTATAATTGGCTAACCCGTTGCTATGGTTAGATAGGTAAATGTATAAGGAATTTTATGCTACATAATATACAGAGCGGTGTATTTGAAAAAATTGAGTAAATTGAATTTAAAATTATACCCATACTTAAGACATGTTTCAAGACACTCTGTATAAAATAATCAAGTTATATCAGCACTATTGGTTATCTTGGTAGCTTATAAGTCTGTATTTTAAATATTTTGAAATCCTTGCCTAATTATAATAATTTAATTTTAGGTCTGCATCAGTCTCTAATTTCACAAAAAACTAATTGTTTGGCAACCCTGTAATATTTTTTAAAAGCATTCTAGGGTTGAATACAGTATTACCAGACCATTCTAAAATCTAAATAAAATACAGCGTTGTATTTAAAAAATATACATTTTTATTTGCCAGGCAAAAACGTAACACCATGTATATTCAAAAAAATATGTCTTGTATTTGAAACTTGTTCTAGAAGAAATATCTAGGTCCGGATTAACAAAAAATTCAATAAATTGTTGCGGCCTCGAAACAACACCCTGTACATCAAACTTTTTAAAATATATTTTTATGAAAAGAGCATGATTTAAACAGTATACGTTTTAGTATTCCACCTACAATTTTATTATTTAAATTATGAATTTGTTTACACATTTGGTATGTTAAAAATGGAATATTATGAATTTTTATAATATCAACTAATCAAAATTATTCAGTGGAAACTAAATTTAATTCATAAATATTTCTTTCATACGTTTCTATTTTTATGCCTGTATTCCACTCTAAGGTGTATTTAGAGGTCCGTACTGTAATTTTTAAACATATTTTCATATTCCCTATATACTCTCTCTTAATCAGGCCATGGGAACTATATTACTACTTAAAATATAGGGCATATTTATAATCCCACATAATTATTTTTGTCATTAAAAATTATCAGTGCCATTACAGAAAAAATTAAATAGCTTAAATAGATTACAAATCTTGTCTATTTTAGAATTACAATTATACTTCCTTAACAAAACACGCTTTAGAAAATTTGTACCATTTCGATTTTGAAAATGTAAGAATTTTCGAAAAAGCCCAATTGTTATAAAAGATAAGATAATAAATATTTAAACAAAAATAACTCTGTAAATATTAAACCAGACAAAAGACTTATCAAAAATTTATTTTAATTGAATCAACTAACTGTAACGTCACTGGTAATAAATTGTTATGTTTTTAAAAAAGAATTAAGACTGCACCACAAGATAGAAATAAAAAGTTTTTCCGAAACATATATAGTGATATTTAAATAAAAACTATAATTGACTTATCCCGATCATACCCAAGAAGTTTGATTAGTTTCTGAAAGTTTTTTCATCTTCACCTTTTACGTCTTTTGACATGCAGGTATTTTGTTTGTAGAGCGACATCAACGATGTGAATCAAATATTCAAAGAACTCGGCTCGCTGGTTCACGAACAAGGCGAAATCGTTGACAGCATAGAAGCCAATGTGGAACGTACCACGGACTTCGTGAGTCAGGGCGCCATGCAGCTGCGCGAGGCCAGTACGCTTAAAAGCAAAGTAAGAAGGAAGAAATTGATTTTGGCTGCCATAGCGGCCGTTATTTTGTTAATTGTTATTCTGATAATCGTTTGGCAGGTCAAGTAGTGATGCTTTTATTCTACAAATCCAAAGTTATTTAGTATGTATTAAATCGAATTACCAACATGCATGTAGTAGGGCTATTGTTTTATTATTTATACAGAGGATGTATAGGAAAATAACGATTTAGGGCCAATATAAGAAAAGCGGAACATTTATTTATTGTACAGCAAAGAATTTGTAGAAATTGATTGCCTAAACTTACTTAAATACAGTGTGTTTTATAAATTTAGTCTTTTTTTATGGCTTAGAATTTCATAAAACAAACACCAGAGGCGGCTCGAGGCCTAGTGTACGAGGAGGCTTACACACCCTATATACTTGGAATACAATGTAATATTTCTGCTTTTTGTATTCTATTAGAAATATGTATTTGTATTAAGTAGCCACCTCGTAGACTAAGCCACGAGCCGCCTCTGACAAACACACTTTTTTCCTATACTTAAAAATCTGAGAAATTATTATACATCTCGACTCTGCAAAAATCATTTGTGAATAATTTCATGAAGGTTTGTGTCATATATGTCAGTTTAACAAATGTACCAACACAACAAAAAACCTTGTAAGCGTTAAAAGTAATATGACCAGGATAATAATAAAATTTAAAAACAAAACGAAATTGTTCAACGTAATGACAAAACATCTATTTAGTATTTAGTTTGGTTGATTGATAGGTTTATACTTCTGAAAACCTCAAGGTAAAATTATTGGACGAAAATTAGAACATGTTCTTCTTTTTGAAAAGCCGTATTTGTAAATATTGGTTTGTTCCATCATATTATAATCCATGACAGATCCGACTACTAGTCTATTTACATGCATATATATTTTTTTAACTATGACATGAACAGTCAATAATGTTGATTACAAACCCAAACCAAATGGTAAGTTTTTACATAAACCGGTTTGATGGTTTGATCCCGATCCGAAATCAATATACAGGGTGTGTCGTAAATTTAGTTTAGAGGTGGTAGGGGGCATCATCCCATAGGTGTTTCTACAGGTTTTTTTCTGCAAAAATTGTATTTTGATGTACACTGCCACCCCTAAAAGTTTCTCAGTATATTTATGGAACGCTCTATATTTGTTGGAACACTGGATTTGCAGTCGGCTATTTGGTTTGAAGTTTGTTGGGACGCATTAAAGTAAAACTGCTCATGATCCTGATGGTCATGTACGAATTTGGACTCTTGCTGGAACCTTATGTTGTATGTGTATGACAACCACACATTATTTCCTGATATTTCTTGCAATATTATTGTATGGTAAAAAAACAACGGTCCTATTTCATTTGTGGAGGTATATTATATTGCTATAATGTATCACTTAATTGTGCAGATTTTTCGATAATACCTAGATTTGGCAATATTTTTTTTTAATTCAAACGTTTCTGTCGTTTTCGAAACAGTCACGTTACAATTTCAACCATCTTGTATTATAATACGACATATAGCTGAAGCCGCCAAGCTCATGTGCACAATGTTCCTGTTTTTCGAGTCGATCACTTGGATCTTAATTCACTATAGTTGAAGCTGTACATTTTGAGACGTTGCTAAATATAAGTGCAGTAAAAAGGTAGGATAAATATTTAAAATTACTTGTTTCAAGTCATGGTATTAAAGAAACTTACCTTCGTACAATCAGTACTTGATATAATTGTTACTTATTAATCTTTAACTAGAGTTGCCTACCAAAAATTTAAACCAAATAAGGATTTTTATTAATTACGTAAACATTTCAACTTCAATATGGTTTGTAATAAATATATTATAACTAAATCATCAATAATTATGCCTCCATTTACTATTTTAATGTTTTATGTAAACAGAGTTACATAACATTAATAAATTTGGCAACATGACATTAACTTTTCATTCCGCCATATTTTAACGTTGGCGCATGTAGCGGCTTTTGTTATTCCTGTCTATCTGTAGTTATATCTGTACATTCTGCACGTTTAATTGATCAAAAATGCGGATTCTTCCATTCATTTGTTATTCTATTATATGTATTAAATTTTAAATCAGAAAAAAAGGAACTTTTTTTACTTATCAGATCGGGGTCTGACGTCTTGTCAAAGCTCCCTCTGAGGGATAAATGAAAAATGTAACTACTTTCATCGTAAAACCTTTTGGACTTCATTTCCACATTTTATTTAGTATTCGGTCTTTGGTAAAGAATTAATGACATTAAATCATAAAAATGCAAAAAAACAATAACTCATAGTCATGTGTCGCAAAATAATAAGAGAAAAACTATTCCTCTGGCTATGCCCCTCGGCAGGCATTAAGTTATATCGAGACAGCCGATATAGAAATTTATTTTCAACACTCTTTATTTTGACCATTGACCATCTTTGGATGTATAAAGTATTGATTATTTCTCCTATTATTTTTTAATACATATATTATGAAAATATACAAAGTGTATCTATCTTAAGTTCGTTTTAATGTTTTGAAATATCTAGACGTAATTATGATATGCACACTATAAATTTAAATGATGAATTGTTGAATCTGCAGCGTTATAAAATCTATATTTTATTTTTGGAATGAGAAAAACGAAAAAAATTATGCCGCAATGTAGGCTAAATAGAACTGGTGATATTAATTTATTAATATTCATTTTTAAGTTAGGTTACAGTACATGGGAGAATATATATTTTTAATTTTTAGCGATGTATAGATTGCTTTTGATAATACTTCACTCAATTAGTTTCTAACGAATTGAAACAAAAAATTTAATATCAATTTTATATTAGCTAAAGTCGTTTTTTAATAAGTTGAAATATACGGGATATCCCATAGAAAAATAAAAGGGATATCCTATCAGTGAGAAGTATCCCATTTCAACAGTTTTGTCCCCACCGATGTGTCAAAATGTTATCACTTATTGTTCAAATCAAAATACTTAAATGTTATTAAATGGAAGAGTCCACCTTTCACACTACACCAAAATATAATATACAGGGTGTTCCATTAGATAAAATTGGATTATTTTGAAATGAATGTCAATTTTTTAAAAATATGTCATCGTTGGGACAAAGCTTGTGGTTCAAATGTTTTAAACTAATTCGCTGGTAAAATGAGATACTTTTTACTGGGACAGTATATTTTGTATTAAAAAAAGAAATTATGACACTTTTAAAAGATATGAATATTGTTCAGCTATGTATCACAGTACAGTCATAATTGAATTGGTTTATGATGACCGACAAAAAAAAAATAAGACAATAATTGATAAAAGTAAATGACAAGGATATATTTTTTTGGCATTTGGATATAAATAATCAACATTCCGTCCATTTTTATTGATTTTATCAATATTTGTTTTTATTTAATTTAGTTAAATTTATTTTATGTACCAAAAAATTATGGATTTGGCTTTAAAGGTACCATTTGGCAACGCGCGACAAGCGACGCGAGAGAGAGACAGAAGTAAGGCGGCAAATTTTGCCATACTAAATCTGATGTCGTCGGTCGCTTCTACCGAAATTTGTTTCATATAATTACATGGGTTCAGACATAAAGAGACCGTTTAGTGTCTTTCTTGCTGTCGCGGCACGTTTTGAAGTCGGTTTCTGCCTCGGCTTGCGAAATGGTAGCTTTAAGACTTTTTATCTACGCGCACTATAACTTTTTGCGAGCTTGTATAGTCGACACTAATTTTAATCAATAATTGAGACTCCAAAAATCTCTCTACATATCTAAATTATTCTTTTTTTTTTCATCTAATTCGATATTAGACCTTTTTTTTTCTTAATTTTTCGAGCTCTTGTATAAAAAATGACTATATATATATTAAAAGTCTAGAAAAGATAGTTCTTAAGTAGTTTTTTTTGTTCTAAAAATCGTCCAGTGAAAAATAAATTGGGACATGCGTTGTAGGTGCGAGTATTTGACAATGGTTCAATTATGGCTTCATTGTGATAGTTTGACAATACATAATATACATATATATTCTTTAATAAGGATATGACGCACCTCTAAAATATTTTTATTTCATACTAGTTTAGTAGAGTAATTAACAAACACTTTGTATGTAATATAAGTTTAACTTTGTCTCCTGATGTACTGCATAATGATTATTAGTTTATTTGATTGTATTCTATTATTGTGATTATTTTGTTTAAACAGTGATTTTTGATCTAATTTTATTAAAAATAAAGTTTATAATGTATATTGATGATGACTAACGAGAGGAATTATTAGAGATAATGTAAATAAATGATTGATTGAAAATCATTTTTTATTATGTTTATATTGTACAAATATCTATCTACTTATTTTAAAGTTTCAAATGTATATAAAATAAAAACATTAAACATATATACAACCTTAATTATAACTAGTTTTATTTTTTTTCTGTTTATTTTTTTCATGAATGCGGACCAGTATCGTTCTGCTAGAAATAACATAATGGGTCGAGTGATACCTCAAATTAAGGGTAATTTTATGAGGAATATAAATGTTTGTAAAAGTTTAATTAACCAAGAAAAACATTTAATTGAATCGCTTATTGTTAAGGCGGCCGTTTAAAACTGACCTATTTAGAGTTCTGAGCTGTTACATATCTAAGACACGAACCTCATATCGCAAAGTATTTTGCTCAAAACTATTTTCTCTAAGTTCGCTCGCTAGGCGAATATTAGGTCAAAGGGCTGAATGATAGAAACGCAAACAGCGATGCCAGTTTTTATTCAAATTCCGGTATATCTTTATTTTTTTAAGCTATTGCATAGCTTTTATCGCGGGCTTTGAGCGTGGCGACCGAATCAAGAAATTTCGTAATTCCGTAACGAAAATAAACCTAACACCCCCCACTCCGACCGGCACAGCGGTGCGGCGTTTTGAAAGCCGTAGAAGGTTTTATTCGACCCTATTCGTATTAGTATGAAGCGGAGTTAAATATACGTCTGCGGACTGGAACGTTTATCCAATACAAGAACTAGAAGAGCTTTCTCTGGCTTCTAATAAATTGGTATCACAAATGTTCCCGGCTGGCGTAAATATTAGATATTATTTTTTTTTGCAAGAGATATAATAGTATATTATGCAACGATCATGTAATAACCATTACATGAGAGTTGCATACGCTATTTTTTCTACACCCGATAAATAATCAAGACCTATAAATATTATATTTATATTGGTATTGAACACAATAACAGTAATTACTCGTATTTCTATAAAAAATTCTACAAAATTGTAATTAATGGTGTTACTTCGGGTATTGGTATTTTCCTAGATTTTTGCGGCAAAATATTATGTAGTGTATTTTCTGCTTTCTCCGATATGTGTGGAGAAGTCTTCTATATCGCTGATATCAGACATTTTAATATTATAATTATCGAAGTTTAGCTATCTATGAAAATTTAATACGTTTTGACAACTAAAACAATTACATGGGAACCTAGGACAAACGTCAAATATCAGTGTGTTAACTATTTCAGTATTAAGCTATTGCACAGATTTTATCGCGGGCTTTGAGCGCGGCGACCGAATCAAGAAATTCCGTAACGAAAATAAACCTAACCCCTCGAAAAACCGAAAAATGGAAAAATCGAAAAAATCAAAAAAGAAATTCCGTAACGAAAATGAACAGATTCTATCTCTTTTAGACACAATTTCGGAAAAATTGAATTTGAAAATAAATAATGATCCACAAGAATCCACAACAAAATATGGGACCACCACTGACGCGGTATTTTCCAGATATTTAGAGGATATCAAGTCTCAAACTTATGTTTCTTATTTCAGTTAGCATAAACCTATAGTTTCAATGATAAAAATTCCTGAATAACCTACATATATTGTAAGATAATAAAAATATTTTAAACAATATTAACTTCTCATTTATTCAATAAAAAAAAAATTGTTTTCTTATCGGTCACCACGCTCAAAAAGTGTAACTTGAATTAATATCAAAGAAAAAAAATACTGCACAAATAAAATAAATAATTATAATTGCATAAGTTGATGCAATAGCTTTACCGCGGCAGTCCCCGAGTGCCACATTTTTTTTTTTTTTTTGTTAAAATCGAAATAGGTATGGTAGGCACGGAACTATTAAAATATGCAAATAATATTTCAAAAACAACAAATAAGGGGATTGATTCGAGACTACCTATACTACATTTGTTTTGTGTATAATTTTTGTAATGCAAACCGTAAGTATAACGATAATATGATTTTCTGAGTACCTATTTTCGTATGTTATTTTCAAAACATACGATCTGAAAGAAAAAATGGATACAATATTTATACAAGCCAAATAGTAGTTTGTGCAATAAGAGAGGATAGGTAAGATGACCAAATTACACGGAGACGGAGTTTCAGCACGACGCCACATAGTGGAAGTGCGATATGAGCAAACCACTTGAATTGTATAGTATATTTTTTCTACCAATCGTTGAAAAAATATACATTTTAAAAAGTAATTTAGAGCTTATATTAACATAAAATAATAATTTTAAATATATTTAACACAAATATTTAAATTTATAAATTTTATTAATTCATAACATAAAAAAAAGAATTTTGCTTTATCCTGGATTTGAACCACGAATCTTTCGCACGGGAACTTATCAGTTATACCAAAGAATACCTACCCAAGAAGCGAAACTGAATGAGTTTTCATATGTACCAAAGCATGGGAACTTAATACACTGGGAAACGTATGAAAATTACTCAATTTTTGTCGTTTGGTGCATAAGACATACTAAAGTCCTAATGACAGAAAATTCTTACTATAATAATAATAATACAAAAAGTTATCAACGTTCTTCATAGTGGGCACTCTTAATTTCGTTTAAAACATCGTAGCAACTTGCTGTATAACCGCATTACATTAATTGCTGTCCGTGTTGTAGGTTGTCATCTGAATTTATTAACTACAGATCAGAAACATGGTTAATTTAACAGAAATGCATAAAATAACAATTTTACAAATGATTGGTTAAGGAGATAAAATAAGAACACAGTTTGAAGTTGTTCGCCTATTTAAAGAAAAATTTCCTGGTATATGGGTGTAGAATATTTTAGTTAGCGGGCTACTTAACATTTGGTGGATTTCGTATACATTCTAGAATGAATATAAAGTTATACCCGTTCAGTAGACTGATAGAATGGCTACATATTCATTCTGTAGTTTCTTCAGAAAATTAATGTGAATAAAATTAACTTTATGAACTTTTCTATCGTTATTATAGTGTCTAGAAAACAAAGCATACGCGTTAGAAAATTTGCACCCTTTCGATTTTGAAAATGGAAGAATTCTTGAAAATGAACCAAATCTCAACAAAATAATCCTTGAGATGATACATATTAAAAAAAAATAACTCTCTAAATAATAAAACGGACATAAAAGATTTGTCAAACGTTTATTTAAATGGTAATTTTTAACTTTGTAAAAACTCATCTTTTTGTTTCCCTACTTTATCGTTATCGTGTTAAACCAAATCATTATTTCGAATACACCTTCACACGCTGAAACAGAAAGACGGGGTTTCTATTATTTAAAAAAAAATTAAACTGTTTGTCATCGTCCCCAACTTTTATTAAATTTTGAATGCACCCGAAGATGGAAAACATGTTTCCGAAACATATGTAGTGCTGTGCTAAACTATAGAAAATAAAAACATGACCGAATGAACCTATGAAATTTTTATTTATATATTTAATTAAAACAATATCTATGTTTAAAGCTTGATTACTATCCGAAGAGTATATTTATATTGCCTAACAAAATGTCTAATTTGGCGCAGCCAGGCGAAGCTTATTTGACGACGTTGATCTAAAATCCCTTACGGTAGGGGTACCTGACACCCAGCGCTTTCTTTAGCAGTGGCGTGTGTACATTTATAAAATGTTTTAAATCTGAAATACTCGTAAATGAAAAGTATTAGTCAGACTATTGTTTGTCAAATTGTTAATAAACTGTAAATTAATAAAACAACTGAAAATTTTACTTAATAATAAATATATTTGTGATTATCTATTTCAATTATAATTTTCAATATCCGACAATTCTGAATCCCACTCGTCAGATGTTTCCGTATTCACATTAAATATCAAGGAATCTGTACATCCATCCATTGATGAATATACGCATCCTCATATTTCGAACAATGATCAACACGTTTTGCCCATTCCTCGGGGGTTATATTTTTAAATTTCTCTCTTGTTAATGTTTCAACGTCATTCAATTTAAATGTTGTGTTGGCCCACCCAGTTTTTTACTTGGGCCCATATTTTCTCTATGGGATTTAATTAGGGATGGTATGGAGGCAAACGCAGAACATCGTGTCCACTTTCTTGTAGAACACTTTTTAAAAGAAATGTTGGTGGTGATTTGTGAACTTTGATGAGTTCGTAAAGTTCCGGTTTTGTCATTTTAGCATCACGCGGAATGCTACGTTGAACAATAACTATTCAAAGATATTCCTGTAGCAGCTAGAACTCTCTCTGTATTTGTTCAATGGTATTTTAACACCATTTTCAGCCTCGTCTTTCATGAAGTTAATCGGTCGTGAAATTACTTCTTTGGTCTGTGCGTGAAGAACTTGGCTCTTTTGTCCTAACAAATGTTTTTGATTCATGTCGTTCAACAAGCTAATATAGATGTAAGAAATTTGTTTTGAATAAAAGGTAACTATATAATAGTAGTTTATGTACCAAGGACGAATAGTTGAGTTTTTAGGACGACTACTAGGAGTCCTAAAACAAATGTTCGTGGTTCATACGTTATTTTTTATTCGAATGTATTTAAGAAATTAAAAAAATTAAGTTTGAAATTATTTTATTAAACATTCTTTATAACTCAACTGGCCGTGAACTGTAAGAGTGCCTAGATACTATATTCTTGATAGCTGCTGTTATGTGAGTGAGCTTAAACAGTAATTATTATTTTTTTAAAGTTATTCAATTAAAACTGTGAGTATTCAAATTTTATAAGCATTTTACAACGGAAAAAATTAATTATTACTTTAAAAAGTAAATTATACCTAAAAAAGAACGGTTCGAAATTAGAGCTCCCCGATATTTAACCTTGCTTTATTGGCCTAGCTCGGCTAACTGTTTTTCCGTAGCATATTTGAAGTATATAGAAAAGTTATGACTAAAACGAAAAACAAATGTTAAGTTTATTTATTTGTTTATCGAAATTAGATCACTCAGACTCATTTTCAATTATATTTAAACACGATAATTCAATTAAACTCATTTTATTGTCAGAATACAACCGGCGACTGCCGCTTATGGCCAACTCATACTACTGCATGGA